GAGGAGGGGAGGTGACCAGACCTGGGATTCTCAAAGACCAACCTGGCCATGCACCACCAGTGTGGGCTGCTGTCAGGACAGACTCAGGGGCCAGGCCTGGGGGCCGGGACCGCGGAGCTGCGTGGGGCGGAAGCAGCTGAGGTGTGTCACCAAGGCAGAGCAGCAGTGAGGGACAGAGGAGGGACCTGGTAAGGAGCGGGAGTGGGAAAGGGGGATGGGCTCGGCACTTTGCACCTTTGCCCTGGTTGACGTACAGCCCCAGTGCCTTTGAGAGCAGCAAGAAGCCCACAGCTTACAACGGCCAAGAACATTGGCCTCAAACCACAAGCTGCTTTGTTCATGTTAAGGAAAACAACAGTAAAATCAGAAACTAGCCCAGAAGGCTGCCATCACCAGACTTTTCTACGAATAACCTGGAAGTGCTTGCTCATTCAAAGACAGGAAGCAGGCGCGGTGGCTCACGCCTGTAATCCCAGCACTCTGGGAGGCCGAGGCAGGAGGATTACTTGAGCTCAGGAGTTTAAGACCAGCCTGAGCAAGAGTGAGACCCTGTCTCTACTAAAAATAGAAAGAAATTAACTGGCTAACTAAAAATATATAGAAAAAATTAGCCGGGCATGGTGGCGCATGCCTGTAGCCCCAGCTACTCGGGAGGCTGAGGCAGGAGGATCACTTAAGCCCAGGAGTTTGAGATTGCTGCGAGCTAGGCTGACGCCACGGCACTCACTCTAGCCTGGGCGACAGAGTAAGACTCTGTGTCAAAAAAAAAAAAAAAAAAATTAAATTTAAAAATTGTCAGATAATCCACCTTGCTAGTGTAGGTCACATTTGACAGGTGGCAGATGGTCATGAATTAATCCAATCACTTTTGCCTTTCGCCAGCTGCGTAGCAAAATGTCTTTCTTCCCTTGCTCTCTGGCTTCTAAGGGTGTATTTTTTTGTACTCTGCGAGGTTAGGAGGAAAGACTGGGGCCGAAACTGCGCGTGAGAAGGTGCCAGCTGGACCCATTGCTGAAGTCAGAGTTGGGGCCGGGCCTGCAGGGCTGTCTGGCCCCGCCAGCGCACAGTCAGTGGCCTGTTTTCGGAAACACAAGAAAGGCTGATACAGAGCGGGCGTGCAAAGGGATGGCTCACCATTTTGTTTTCGGATCCTGCCGTTATCCCGAGGCAAAAGTCCTGCCCGTACCTGAGCACTCGGCGAGTGTTGTTGCCGTCCATGCTGTCGGTGGGGAATGAACGCGGTGTGAGCTCTCCGCGTTAGGACCATCCTGCAGCCCTACGTCTTGTGAGCCCAATTGCGATTGCAATCGACTTTCTTGATGATGTATATTTACATCCCGCAACTGAATTGAATAACCAAATAAAGGGTCTCTCCCTTTGGCCTTAAAGTCTGGCTGGCACCGTAATCCCCGTGGGTCTTTGGCTACGTTAGGACCAAACATGTCGTGCTAATATGTACTAAGAAATTCCGGTCAAGTGCTTAGACATCTTTAGAGAGAACCACGGTTTACACAATTGCAGACATTTAATACAATCCTCTCTCTTAGTCCTTTAGGAAACAGAACTTACGGTTAATTTTTAGTCGTCTTAATTAAAAATGACCTGTGTTCAAAAGAAACCTAAATTAAGAACCTAAAAGGCCAGCTATATTCTTGTTAACACGAACATGACTATCACGAATTAGCGATGGTTTTCAATTGTCATTATATCTCTGTTCATTCTCTTAAGGATTTAGTTGCTTATTTTCAAAATCTCCTCAAGCACATTTCTTTGAGTTGGGGGCGGGTCTCGCTATGTTGCTTAGGCTGGCCTTGAACTCCTGGCCTCAAACTATCTGCTCACCTTGTCCTCCCAAAGTGCTGGGATTACAGGCGTGAGCTAATGCACCTGGCCTTCAAGTATGTTTTTAATGAACAGTTAATTTTAAAATAGAAAATCCTATCTAGTGCCACCTTGTGTTAAACTATATATTTTTGTTGTAAAAATAACGTAGCAACATTAAGGACAACGAAAGCGCTCACATGAGGTCAAAGCATGCTGAAATGTTACTGGGAGAACCCACTTTGCCTCCAAGCAGAATATGAATTTAATTCCCCAGATCCAATACTTATGAATTAAACATTTTGAACTGAACACAAACTACCAGTTATCTGCTATCTAAGTAAGGTAAATAAGGGATTGGGAGGCCCCTCTCGACAGTAATTCTCGAGGCAAACCGCCAAGATGAGAGTCGGGAAATGTTCAGAGAGCCTCTGCCTGCAGTCGGCCGCTCGGTCCCAGCGCCTCTTTACGCTGCAAGTGAAAATAGCTGTTTACGATGAAAACGGGCCAGGTGCGGTGGCTCATGCCTGTAACCCTAGCGCTCTGGGAGGCAGAGGAGGGACGATCGCTCAAGGTCAGGAGTTCAAAACCATTCCTGAGCAAGAGCAAGACCCAGTCTATACTAAGAATAGAAAGAAAATTAATTGGCCAGCTAAAAATATATATAGAAAAAATTAGCTGGGTGTGGTGGTGCATGCCTGTAGTCCCAGCTACTCGGGAGGCTGAGGCAGGGAGGACTCGCTCTCGCGCAGGGAGTGTTGAGTTGCTGGCAGCGAGCTGACGCCAAGGGTACTCTAGCCCGGGAAACAGAGTGAGACTCTGTCTCAAAAAGGAAAGAGGGGAGGAGGAGGGAGGGGAGGGGAGGGGAGGGAAAGAAAAAGAAGGAAAGCAAGCAAGCAGCATCTGTGGCTGAACATGAGCTGAAAAGGAAGGCGCCTGCACCTGAGAATGGTGAACGTGTTTCTGCTGACCGGGACCGGGTCTGAGCGGCGCTCAGCCCGCAGGCACCTGCAGCTCGTCCCGCACAGGTGGGCGTGGATCTCATCTGGAGTCATGCTCAGGGCCAGGTCCCGGCCAGGAACACGTCGGCTTCCTTCTCGGGGTAGTCGGGGTTCACGAGCATCACCTTGTCGCTGTAGTGGACGTACCCGTCCTTCGGACACGGAAGCGTGCGAGTCTGCCGGTGTTAGCAGGGGTGTGGCAGCGCGCAGCACGGCGCGAGCCGCCCACGGCGCGGGCCGGGGCGCGCGGCCGCCGTGGCCCGCGTCCGCCGTGGTGCGCGCCCTTCCCCTCTCGGAGCCGGCCCGTTATGAGGGGGTCGCGGCCGCGTAGGATGTCCCGCAAGTCCTTAGTTCCCTTCTTCCTTCCCTCGCAACGTGCTCGCCAGCGAAGAGGCTCCGCAATCCACACAGGAACCCAAAGGAAGCTGGAGTTGCATGCGGTCCACTCGTGATGTAGTTTGTTCAGCATTCACTGAATTTTTTTTTTTTTTGAGACAGGAGTCGCTGTCTGCTGTTGCCAGGGCTAGAGTAGTCGCCGTGGCGCTCAGCCTAGCTCACAGCAATCCTCAGGACTCTGGGGGCTCAAGCGATCCTCCTGCTCAGCTCCCGAGTAGCTGGGGACTACAGCATGCGCCACCAATGCCCGGCTAATTTTTTCTTATCATATATTAGAGTTGCCATTAATTTTCTTTTAATTTATAGTAGAGACGCCGGGTCTACGCTCTTGCTCAAGGCTGGGTCCCAAACTCCTGACCTCAAACGATCATGCGCCGCCTGCGGCCTCCCAGAGTGCTGGAATGAACAAGGCCTGGGAGCCACCCTGCGCCGCCAGCCAAGATTTCTTGAACAAAAACTAAGGGGCCTTTCACTTATGTATGTACCCATTCATTCATTCATTCGTTTGTTTGGAAAATGCAAGTGAACATGTTCCCTCATATTTCTAAAGTCTTAAGGAATTTAGAACACTGTGGCTTTCAGATTCGAAAAGGACAACTGTTATTTTCCAGATGGCAGCTCACGTATGAGATTTTTTTTTTCTTGCTTAACATATACGCACGCAATTGGACAGAATTTTGGAAAGCATGTTTGAGTGGGAAGTTACCGGTCTCAGAAGGGTCTTTTTCAGTCTTCTGCTTCTCTGTATGAGAAGTTCTCCCTCATCCCGCTTCCTTATGAAGTCCTTCAGGCGCTCCTGGTTGGAGACAAAAACACGCGGGACCCTAACCGTCAACAGCAGCCCTGAAGGGCACAGATTGCTGGGAGTTTTAGGCCAGAAACTGCTCAAGTTGAAAAATCAAAATTTGAGCACAGGAAAAAAAAAAAACTGAGCCTAACAACGGGAACGGTGGGAACGTTTTTAGCATGACTTTAATGCTTTTATTTCATTGCAGAAGGTCTAGAAAAATGAAAAATGCACCAAAAAAAAAAGAAGAAAGAAAGGGAAAAAAAAGAAGCATCACCTGTAAGAAACATCACTCCAGCTACAGGCAGCACCTGGAGGCCTCGTCCCCCTCCCCCCCCCCCTCCCCCCCCCCCCCCCCCCGGGGCACAGGGCTCAGCCCCACCCCCGCTGAGCTTTCCCTTGAGTGTGAAGGATTAATCAATATGGGAAAGCCCCCCCCACTGGACCTCCTGGGACCGTGGGAGCACGGAGTGAGGTCAGTGGAAGGACCACAGCCCGGGAGGGAGGGCGGGCGGACAGGTGGGGGCAGCAGCCTCTCCTCTGAGCCTCACTGGGTTCCCTGAGACTCTGAGCGACAGGCCAGGGTAGGCCTGTGGGGCTCTGGGCCAGGGGGAGGCCAGCGGGGCTTGGAGGTCAGGGCACCGCCGTGCTGAGGAGCAAAGGGACCCAGGCACAGGGGAGTCAGCCTTCTCAGAGTTCCCGGGAGGACAGGTGACACTCCCTTGGGGCGCTTGGAGCGGTGGTGGCTGGCGGGGTGCCCGGCCCTATGGGGGGAAGGGCAGGCTGGGGAGCTCGGAGGGGCCGCCGAGCGCAGGCTGGGGGTCCCTGGGCTTGCGGGCCGCGGCCCTGCGGCACCTCCTCCAGGTAGATGTCCTCGTTCCAGTGTGCCTTCGACCCGAGGGCTGTACAGGGTCTGCGCCATCCCTGCCGGCCCAGCGAGCGCCGTCTCCTGGGACACAAGGCCAGCCCGCGTTAGGCGGTGCCTCCGTCGCGCATGGACGACGGGCTCCTGGGCAACGCGGTGAGTGTCCGCCAGCAATGGGTGGAGCCTCACATCGCTCCTGGCCGGGGCGCTGGCCCACGGATGGGTCGACCCCGCCCCACCCCATGTCCATCTCAGTGTTTCCCTTAGTGGCAAACAGGGCCTGGGTGGAAACTGGAGCGTGCGCACCGGCCTGCTCATAGAGAGAAGCGGAAACGGAAAACGCGCTCCGCTTCTTTACTAGAGTCCTAAAGGGAAGGGGCTCCCGCTCCCACCGTGCTCTTTCAGGTGAGCCGAGAGGAGCTGGCGCCTACCTGTGTAGGGGGGGGCAAGTCGCCTAAACCCTAGCAAACCTAACACGGTGAGCGATACAGAAACGTCCGGCAAACCAAAGGCGTAGCGGCGACAGAAAGGAACAAGGGCCCAGGCCCCAGGCCTCGGGCGGGTAGGAAGCACCTCACCAGGTCGAGGGCGCGCTACCTGGGGCGTCCAGGTGGGCCGATGCGGTTACTCGCCTGGAGCACCGCTCCTCCGCTCCTGTCCTGGATAAGAGGAGCTATCGCCTGGGGACCCGCAAAGACTCCTCGGTACAAACCAAGGAGGGTGCGTTTAGCCAGGCACTTTCGGTAAGAAAGAACGATGTGGTCTGGCGGGCGAGGAGACGAGAAACAGGACTGCAGGACAACCTGGGCTGATGCGGGCGGTCGTCATTCGTGCCCTCCCGGTCCACGCCGAAGACGGGACAGAAGGCGAGAGGACAGGAGCCTCTCTGGCTTCGCCAAGCCCGTCTGAAAGAGAAAACAGTTGGTGAAGCCGAGGGACTATTCCAGGGAGACTGTCGCTTTGGGGCTGGCCTGCAAGGGTCTGGCCGGCAGGCTGCCGGGGACAGGCACTTCCCGAGGACAGACAAAACAAGGCACTTGGGTTAGATGTTATACCACTAACTGCATTTGGAAAATTAAGAAACTGAGACTTGGCTAGACAAGTTGGCTCATGCCTGTAATCCCAGCACTCTGGGAACCTGAGACGGGAGGATCGCTCAAGGTCAGGAGTTCAAGACCAGCCTGAGCAAGAGCGAGACCCCCGTCTCTACCAAAAATAGAAAGAAATTAATTGGCCAACTAATATATAGAGAAAAAAAAAGTGAGCTGGGCGCAGTGGCGCAAGCCTGTAGTCCCAGGTACTCGGGAGGCTGAGGCAGGAGGATTGCTTGAGCCCAGGAGTTTGAGGTTGCTGTGAGCGAGGCTGACGCCACTGCACTCTAGCCCAGGCGACAGAGTGAGACTCTGTCTCAAAAAAATAAAGAAAAGAAACCGAGACTCAAAGAAAGCAGCAGCTTATCTAAGTTTAAACTGAGAAAAGTTGCTCAAAGCAAGGACTCCCCCACATCGTCTGACTCCAAAGTTATATTTTTTGCTAAGCGTTCTCGTATCTCCCATAAGGTCAGGAATAAGACAAGGCAGCTCTAGTCTCCACATTGTTAATGCGGTTCTAACGATCGGTCGTTGGGTAATTCCTTGCTCTCATTCAGCTTTGCTCCAGCTACCTCCTCCGAGCTATTGTGGACAAGCACGTTACCGCTCTGTGCGCTATAAATAAAGCAGTCCAGTCCTGTACGTACTGTTTCATGCAATTGCCTTTTACTTCAATAAGAAGAAATGCGCGATTATGCTCTTTGGTAATTACATCCGTAATTATCTTTGTCGATGCTCTTTGTTCTTCCACCTGCGTGCAGATCACTGCCTGGTGTCATTTGTTTTCAACCTGAAGAATTTTCTTTGGTATTCCTTCTAAATCAGGTCTGCTAGCAACACATTCTCAGTTTAAAATTTTTATCTGTTTGTTTGCTTTTGGAACAGGGTCTCACTCTGTTGCCTGGGCTGGAGTGCCGTGGCGTCAGCCTCGCTCACAGCAACCTCAAACTCCTGGGCTCAAGCGATCCTCCTGCCCCGGCCTCCCAGAGTGCCAGGATTACAGGCGTGAGCCACTGCGCCCGGCCAACATGACTTTCATATGCACTAGGAAGCCAAAACATTTGTGTGACTCATTTCATTGCGATATTCCTTTTTCGTAGTAGTCTGGAACCCGACCTGCAGTATCTTTCATGTGTGCCTGAATGTTGTAGCAACGATGTTATGTCCTGATTCTCCACTCTGGGGCTGATTGTTTTTGTTTGCTTGTTTACTAGTATACTCACTTAGCAATTGTGGTGTAGTGGGAATATATCTGGTCCCTGTCCCTGGTTCCTAGCATAGAACTCCTAAAAACCTTGGAACTTCCTGAGTGATATAAGTATCTTCTTTTTTATTATGATTGTAATAGGTTTCGGGGGAACACGTTGAATTCTATTGCATGTATATACTGCATAGTGCGAGAGTGGGTGGCTCTTGGTGTGCTGAGCCCGGAGCAGTGCCGTCACACCCACGGGTCATTTCTCGTCGTCCCCCTTCCCCTCCCCTCCTCTGACTCTCCTGTGTTCATCATGTCACTCTGTGTCACCTGGTGTAGCCAGAGTTTAGATCCCACTTATAAACAAGACACATGTGGCCTTTATTTTCCTGTTCCTGCGATACTTCACTTAGGTAATGGCCCCCAGTTCCACCCAAGCTGCTGCAAAAGACGTAATTTACTATTCCTATGGCTGAGTAGCACTCAGTGGTACATACCGGTGTTTCCCCAAAATAAGACGAGGTCTTATCTTTATTTTTCCTCAAGAAAGACCCTAGGGCTTATTTTCAGGGGATGTTATTTTTTTTTTAAGTATGGTACAACAGTCTACATTTATTCAAAGAGGAGTGAAGCCGTCTTCTTCTGGAACATCATCTCACTCTCCAGACCCGTAATTCCATCCTGCATTTCTTACGACTCTATTTCCGTTAGAATAGCTAGAGTGCCGTGGCATCAGCCTAGCTCACAGCAACCTCAAACTCCTGGGCTCAAGCAATCCTCCTGCCTCAGCTCCCGAGTAGCTGGGACTACAGGCATGCGCCAACAATGCCCGGCTAATTTTTTTTCTATATATATATATATTTTTAGTTGGCCAATTAATTTTTTTTCTATTTATAGTAGAGACGGTGTCTTGCTCTTGCTCAGGCTGGTCTTGAACTCCTGACCTTGAGCGATCCGCCCGCCTTGGCCTCCCAGAGTGCTAGGATGACAGGCATGAGCCACCACACCCGGCCTTTTTGTCTTTTTTTTAAGAGACAGGTTTTGTTCTCTAGCCCAGGCCAGAGTGCAGTGGCCCGTCATAGCTCACTGCAGCCTCGAACTCCCGGGCTCCAGGGATCCTCCTGCCTCAGCCTCCTGAGCAGCTGGGACTACAGGCTCCACCACACACAGCTGATATTTTTTTGTTTTCTGCAGAGATGGGGTCTCACTATGCTGCCCAGGCTGGCACTTTATAATTATTATTTTCACATAAGTCTGCAAATGCTGGAAAACATTTTTGCTACTTTGTTTTCAATCTCTGATGATGCTCTTGGAAAAAAAATGTAATCGGAGCCTTTTGTTACTTGTGAAACATCCGGCAAGAAAAGAAAAGCCAAGGAAATATTTGAAAATAATCGTTTTTAGAAAAAAGAAGTGGGACAAAGTTCAGATATTAGGAAAGAGAAATGAGTCACTATCTTACATGCGAGTGACTTTCAGGGTTCTGAAACTTTAAAAGTCCTCATTGGATGACAGATATCTTCATCACAGTAAAGAAGAAAAAAAAAAACCAGATTGAAGCTTCTTTCACTTAACCCACCCAAGCATTTTTGTCTCTGAGCCTCAAGTATCTTCATCAATAAAAATGGGTTGAGGATATTACTGCCGACTCTGAAAATAATTTCCAAAACAATCTCCAGTATGTTTGTAGGTGCGAAGGGGGAAAGAGTCCCACTGTCGAATAAATTTGAGACATGCTGAGATAGGAGGTCTTATGGCAGGCCTTATCAGAGCGTTGAGTGCAATCGCACGCACTACAAACCTACGGAAGGACGGTAAAATTTGGACAGCGCTTCCCAAGCCAATTTCAGCACGGAATCCTTCTCTTAAGAGTCACCGTATAAAACTGATATTTTAAGGAACGATGATCCAGAGGCTTTGTGCGGCTCAGGTGGGGATAAAGAGGCAAAAATGAATACGGAAATAATCAAAGTCACATTATGTATGGGGCCTGGGGGAAATGGCTGTGCAACGGGGCAATCCCTTCAACCGCTGGTTCAAGCAAGACTCGCCGGGCGCCAGTGTCCTGTGGCAGAGGTGAGCTGGCCGCGGCCCCCGCCTTTTCGCAGAGTCAGGAGGAGACAGCTCTGAGCAGGTAGCCACTCGTGCGAGCTGTGTGGCCGACGGCCAGCTCCCGGAAGATTTCCCGGGAGGGATATCGGTGCATGCTTTCCCACTACGTCGAGGCCCTGGGACAAGGTAGGCAGGGTGCTGAGCCCAGTCCTGCGCTCGCCAGACCACGTGCCATTCGCTGAGGCTTCGTCTGATCGGGAGCATCTATCCCGGTCCCCTCCAAAGAACAGCGGGGTGTCTGGCCAGAAAGGGCCTCCCGATCTTGTCTGTTGCCCCCTGTTCTTCCTGTAAAGTTTTCCCGTGGCGAAAGAAACAGAGAGAGAGAGAGAGAGAGAGAGAGGCCAAAAAACGTGGCTTTATTGAGCGCTCCTGGATGAGGTTCGAGGGTCCCAAGGGGGGGAGGCCGAAAAGTCACTTCCGTTTGGAGGGTTGCGGGCCTCTATACCGTTTGGGCCGGGCTAGGGACTTTTGGCGGGAAGAGCCAGGGTGACCTTGGCTGGTCACTGAGAAACAGGAGGGGCTGGCGGTATCTGCGGAACCCAGGAGCCAAAATGTTCTTATCCGGGTGGACACCCGGGTGTGGTTGTTCTCAGTGGGGCCTGGCAGTTGTCTTTGGCGGGTCTGGTCTCGGGAGTCTTTTCTTTTTGATCTAGGGAGGG